CTATGTTCATTTAAGAATACACAACCAGTAAAACTCCACATCATGTACAACTGCAAGAATGGGATCCTAATTAGAATAAGCTATACTATATGCATATGTCAAAATACACTCTAGAGTCATGCATATCTAAAAAGAACAAAAAAGAAAGAGAAAAAAATAAAAAGAGAGAAGAAAAAAGAATTAACCAGAATTTTAGAGTCTGTTGAAAGTCTCATGTATTGCCTTTTGGCGGGGCAGAAGAATTCTATTTATTGTCATGTCCTCTTTCTCTTCAACCTTCAAAACTTTATGCCATCCCCTCTCGTTGTCAAAATAACCCCCAAAAGCTAACAAAAAAAATTCTAGGAAATATAGACCCCCAGCTCCTCCCTTGTGAACCAGGAGAAAGAAAAAACATTGGTATAAGGCAGAGTTGAAAACAATCAGAGTTGAAAACAAGCCTACCCATAGTTAATTCACCATATTTGTATTTCACTGAATGTAAGAAGCAATTATAAGATGAACCATTAAATTCTTTAGCAATTAATAAAGAAGAGATTTTGCCAGTTACACTTTGAATTGCTATTTATTGTATTTTACCCGGATTTTAAAGGCATCTAAATGTGAAAAAAAAAGTATGTGTAAGTAGGTGGAATGCAGTAATTTCCAAAATGTCAATAGTAACCACCACATCACACTTCCACCTGACACTGTGATTATCCATTGCACAACTGTAGACAAGGATTGCTTCTCCCGAAAAGGGGAAAACCCAAATCCCACTGGGAACCACGTGTAACTCTGTAACGTTCATGTCTCTTTGAGTCATTCTACTTTTATTAATCTACAAACTAAATTGTAAGGGCAACCATTATTTTTAAGCATGGTTGACTTGCTTTGGCCAATGGGACAGTGAGAAACGTGAAGCAAACAAAATCGAACAGGTCATGCGCACTTGTACCTTACTCTTTGATGGCTCTTGGAATCCTGCTACTGATATCTAAAGAGGCTTGGCTTAGACTTATAGGTGATAAAACACATGTGGCCCAGTCACCTTTTTATAGCTTTGCATCTTCCTCAAACTCCGGTGTCAATGCAGGCATGTTCAGAGGTGTGATAACTGGATGGCAAGAGCTGTAACCTAAGCAGTCTATCCTAGTTTAAATGGACTGACTGGGTGGTAACTGTAGGCAGGTGGAGCATGGCTGGAGGAGGTGAGTCACTGGGGCATGCCCTGGAAGCATTCATCTTCCCTGCAGCCCCTTCCCCTTTCTCTCTCTGCTTCCTGCCCACATGAGCTGAGTAGATTTCCCCCGCTGTGCCCTCAGCCATGATGCTCCATCTCACTTGAGTCCAGAGTGATGAAACTGTCTGATCATGGAATGAACGCCTGAAACCATGAGCCAAGATAAAACTTTTCCTCCTCTAAGTTGTTCTGGTCCAGTATTTAGGTCACAGGGATTAAAAAAAAAAAAGACTAACGGATACCTTAATGATCAACCCGTCAACCACCAGACATGTAAGTAAAGCCAACCTAGACCTATCATCTGCCATCTGAAATCCCAGGTGACTCAAGACTCAGGAGTGATCCATCAGAGATCCACTTACGTGGATCAAATCAGACTTCCCAGCCAATCCACAGAGTTTTGAGTTAAACCAGTGTTTGGTTTTATTCTTTAAGTCTTAAGATTTGGGGTCATTTGTTATATAGTAGAAACAAACTCAAACCCAAACAGGTACTGGCAGTGGAGTTGCTGCTATACCCAAGTCAGAAACACATGGTGTTAGCTTTGGGAACAGGAAGCAGGTGGAAGCTGGAAAAGTAGCAAGGAAATTGTTGGAAAAGTCTAGAAAAACGATGAGGGCACTAAGAGGATGGAGAAATAGCAACTCCTGTTATGTACTTATGAAATGTTTGGCAAAACTGTTGCCTGTCATAACCTGGAAGTTTAAAAATTTACTTAATGACCTTATAGACTTTAGCAAGGTGATTTTTAGAAAGTATATTGAAAATGTCAGTTGGCTTCTTTTAGCTGCTTGTGATAATTTATGGGAAGGGTATGATCTGAATGTTCACGTCTCCCTAAAATTCAGGTTAATATCTAATCACCAACATGATCATAATAGTAGGTGAGGAATTTTAGGAGGTAACTATGAGGGTAGAACATATATGAGCAGGACAAGTTTCCTTATAAATTGGCCTAAAGGAGCTAGTTCATTCATTCATTCCACCATGTGAGGACACAGTGAGAAATCAGCAGTCTGCAACCTGAAGGTCAGCCCTCACCAGAATCTGATCAAACTGACATGTTGATCTTGGATTTTCCGATCTTAAAACTATGTGAAATAAATTTCTATTGTTTATCAACTACCCAGTTCGGGATATTTTGTTATAGAAGCCTGAATGGACTAAGAAAGAAAGAGAGATAAGTAAAAGAAGGAATTGTTTCATTTTAAAGCAACAATAGGAATATAGAAAGACTAGGAATTTTGAGGTTAGAAAATAAATCTTTCTCATCTGTGGGCTCTCAGACCAGTAAAATATTCTCAAAGTAATAAATAGCTTGAGAGTAAAGAGCTAATAAAACATCACAATAAGATGTTTGTTAGGACACTTTGTTAAGACCTCTGTAAAGGAATGTTTGATAGAAACTTTGAAGTAGATAAAATAGCTTCTAAAATTTTTCAGGTCTTCTCCAACAGAAATGTAAAACACTCAAAGTAGAGATGGACATGTTTGCAAAAGGGTTGTGGTAGAGGCTTTTGAAACATAGAAGAGATTTGAATTAGTTTCATTGGAAACCCTTGAGGTTTTTAAGAAAATTGCATTGTTAAAAGCTCTACCATTTGGACATTAAGGCATAGGATGTGCCCATATGGGAAGCAAGAGCAGTGTTAGGGATAGAGACAAACAGCTATGGGAGGCCAAAGATACGTAGGCTAAATGGGGGGATCTAGGAGTAAAGATAACAGCAGTGAACAAGAGCTCTGGAGGTCAAGTGTTTTCTGGTTGGATTTCCCCCTGAGAAGTGTTTACTTTTCTAACACTGATTCCTTGCATGCTGGTCTCCATAAAAACCAGCAGTTCTGAGAGCTTCAAGTAACCAACTCTGAGCACCACTGGGACCCAGACAGCTGACAAGACAGGGGAGTAGTCTTAATGCCTTCCAGACATCAATGCTAAGCTGGAGAATAGGGTTGTAGTCAGTTCCTGCAGGTATTTCTACTGAATCCTAACTCCTAATCACTCCTGGCAGGATCTGGTGTTCCCGATTCATGCCACTTTGAAAGCCCCACATCTCAAGGGTCAGGGATGCCCTCCTGGAGTCTGGTATATAGTCTTGCTGTATTTTGTTATGTTGTCTTAGAATTTTATATTGTCTTAAAAATGCAATTTTTCCGGCTTCTCTTGAGTCTTCCCCTTGGTAATCGCTGCCCCAGCGGGCCTGCTCTGTGGAACATGCTCATTTAATTTTGTTTCTGCTTGACCAAACTTATGTTGACAGAATTCCCAAGAAAATATTGTTATGCCCTTTGTCTTGTTTGGAGATACAGACGTTGCATGGGAAAGGACCCGGCCCTGGGACCTTGTCTCTTACCTACAGGTGTCCCAAGGGCTTTGCTTTCATGAGCCAAGCTGCAGTGTACAAAGATGGTGCCGATCTGGAGGGTGGAGGGAATGCCTAACTGTGAGAAGAAAGACTCAGCCTGACTCATGCACAGGTTAAATTTATTTGGGACACAAGAGTTTTAGAAAGCAGTCACCCCACTATTGTAGATCTTCCAGGGATAGGGAATAGCTGAACACGGGATTCATGGATTCACAAGAAATCTTCTGGGCTGGTCACCAGGTTCACTTGTCAATCTCCATTCACCTTTTGAGATTAGTATTCCTTTAAAATTAAATGGGATTCCATTAAAATTAAAAGCCCCACATTATTATTTTTCTTCACCATTTCCTAATAACCTGTATGTCCATCCCGACTTCCTCATGCAAAGAATGGAAACTGAGGAATTGCTCCCAAATCCTGGACAGGCACCAGCAGAGGTTAAACAACCAGGATAATATTCTCAGGCTAGTAAGGCCTGGTAACTCCCTGGCTTTTGTTCCCATAAGTTGTGTTTCTGTAAGACAAACGGATACAAAGTAGCTGCCTTCCCAGTTTTGGCTGAATGGTGATTACATTCATTTTTTTTTCTTTTTATGTTTCCTCTTATTTCTGATGCAGGTGGGCAACTGAATCCAGTGTACTTGAAACCCAGCAGGGACTCTGGCTGGGGAACCGGTGACATCATGGCTGCCAGAGCCACTCTTCTGAAACACAAGTTTGATCAGGACATTTCCTCTGCTTAGAAACTGCCAGCTGCTTAGCACTGACACTGTGGTAGGCAGCTCACCGCTCTTTGGATGAGGACTTGTAGTGTCCCTCCCCACAACCTCCACCCTCACGGTGACATTTACCCATTACCATCATTTTCCCATCTTCCAGGAAAGCTCCGTTTCTCCCACCAGCTGGACTGCCCTTCCATGTCTAGCAGATTTTGTGCATCTTCAAGCTCTCGCTTCCATGTTCTCCACTCTCTCATGACTGCCCCCCACACCCCCACACTCTTTGCTCTCACAGAACTTAGTAGAAATCTAAACAAAGCACCAGGTTGTGATATGGGTTTGTTCCCCAACCTGGTTTACGTTGGCCTTTTTATCTCAACTCTAGCCCATGCCTGCCTGACATAGGAGGTACTCAAATACACTGGTGTTCCCATTTCTTCCCTTCTTCCTCCTAGGATCACCTACTTTCCTGGAAGAGTTAAGGTACTTCCGTTGGGGTAGAGGAAAGAGAGTGAGCAATTCTAGTTCATGTCCTTGTGAATCTAAGGTCACAGATACTTGTCTCCCTTGAGCTCCTTGGGGCTGTCATTGAATAGGGCTTCTCTTCTAGGACAGGGCTATAGATAACGCAACCAGGTTGTCTTTCTATCATTTGCTTCCAACTTCTCTCTCCTGGAGTCATGCAGACTTTTGAGAGCAGTGGACAAGGTGTCATGTGTCTGCCCTAGAAAAGCCCACCAGGAACTGGTCTGCCCGCATGGAGCCCTGGACTGGTTTATACTCACTTTGAAAACAGCTTTCTGGCAGGTATGACCACAACCATTGCTGCAGCACTTCATCCCCATGGGACATGAATCATCTCCTGAGCACATTTCAGCACAAGTAGCATAGGTTCCTTCAGGCAATTCAGGGCATTCTCCATAGTCTTGCAGTTCTAAAATGAACAATGGTGTTTTTGGAACCTGGAGCGATCACCAGGACAGAGAGGAGAACCGATGCTGGAGGTTTGAAGCCCTCGTCACCACAGGACTCCGGCTTCTTCCTTCCCTTCCTTGGTGCTCCTGGACCCCCCTCAGATTCATCAGCACCACTGTCAATTTTAAGTCCTTATGTTCACAGTCTAGCCCTTGAGAGAATGTTCTTGGAGCTCTAAAACCTGCAGAGACTCAACAAGAAAGGAACCTGCACTGTCATCCTGGAAAACCTCTGATGTAAGACAGCCACCTGCCTACCCTGCACAAATCGGCGTTCACCTCAGAGCAGCTGCCCCTGGGAGTCACATCTAGGGCACATCTCCTAGTTAGGGAGACCTTTGCCCCATTCTCTACACCCAGCTTCTGTTGAACTCTACTCACTCTCATAAGGATAGGAAATACAGGGTAATCTCTCCTACAGGTGAAAGGAAATAAGTCTGATCCATGCAGTGGGCATGTGCCTGCCTCCCAGACTACCCCCAGGCTCCAGACTGGGCTCCCAGCCTTCTCTCCTCTCAACTGGGAACCCTCAGCATACTCACCTTGGGAAGGAAAATAGTTCCTGGCACAGACCATGTTCATTCCCAGGGTGACAAAACCCACCAGAACCAAGACTGTGGCTGCCTTCATGTTTGCTTCTGCTAAGCCTGGCACATACACAGCAATTTATACTGTGCCACCTGAGAGGAAGGCTGAGATGGAGGCAGTGCAGCAGAAAGTGCAGAAAAACACAAGCTCTCCAGGGAGTGCCCCCAGGGGATCTACTTCCTTTGTTCACAAGAACTTTCAAATTAAAGTGTTGTTTCTTGGCAGGTGGAAATGCCAAACTTGAGATACTCAAGAAGACGTTTTAGCAGGTTGGCACTGGTTTTCCTGGTGACAGGAAATGGTAACAAAGAAAAGAATGGTATAATTTAGAATCTTCAGAGTGAGAACTTAAACTCTGAAACCAGGTGTGGACTGGAAGGCTAATCTGGGGCCTCCTGGAGGTCCAGTTATGTTAGAATGTGACCAGGATCCTCCTGTTGACATCTGAATCTGGAGGGCCCCCCAAAAGCCAGATCTGGCCACTCTCCCCCCTCAAAATAAACAGGAAAGGTAACAGTGAAAAGCGGGAAAGGAACATTAATAAATCCAGCAGCTCAGCACTGTCTTCACATTGTCTTTAAGTCTGTAGCTCACCTGAGTCTGTAGACTCTTAAAGAGAGTCCAATTTGGGCCGGGGTGAAAGGGATGCAACCTTCAGCAGATGTGGCCAAACTGGGGTCAGGCTCATTGTTATTTCAGTTCTGGTTCTGCGTCTTTATTGCTTGAGGACAGTTTCCACTTATTACTCAGGATGTTTATCTGTCACACCTGTGACCCAGGAAGGTCAATTCTGTTTCTATGAGATGATTGTTCCTGCTTAGCTGGGCAGCCCTATCGTGGGGTGATTTTCTGGCATGTGTAGAAGGACAGCTACTGAAGACTTCCAAGGTGCCACATCAGGGATCTGAAACAGGATGCTGTAAAAGGTGACAGTTGAATGTCCCTGCAAATCATGAATTGGTCTTAAAGGTCGGGGGGCGAGCTAGGTGAGGCAAATTTAGGGTTAACAAACCTTGTATTGCTAGTTTTTAGATGAACAGTCCTTAGATGATTAACATGCCCTCATGAAGAGCTGAGCAGGGATCTGGCCCAACATTAGGGTAATGAAGGGGATGGGTATTAAAAATGAAGGCAGAGATGCCAAGTTTTATCCTGTTTTTAGTTACTCATTGGGTAGGTTTTCTCAATGAAGAATTGATGCTTTTAGCAAAAGGCAGCCTCTCCGAGCCTAAGTCCCTGTTATAAGAATTTGACACGTTTCTGGGAAATGGGAAAGGTGTGCTTTGAGCCATTGACAAGCCACAAGGCTGAGTTCACAAAGCAGGGCTGAGTGGAATACAAGTCACCTGTGGAAGAAGTGACAGCAGGGAGTGAAGTCAACCCCGGAGGGGATGGATGCTCAAAGATCACAACCTGGCTGGACCCTACCTGCTGGTTGGTGTTCTCTGACCTACTCTGCCCTGTACTGAGAGGTTCCTACGGAGAGGGCTGCACAGGTAGCTACCAGGGGGCTGAGCTACAGGAGAATATAGAATGTCCCTAAAACCTGAGGAGCAAGCTTGTTCTTTCCTACCCCAATTACAGAATCTCAAAGAGCTGTAGAAATCCCCATGGCTGTGGGAGAAGGGAGTGAATAAAGTTGGCTTTGTCCTTTGTGATTGGAACTTGGATAAGTACTGATGACCACCAGTGGACAGCCACTGTTGGAGCAGAGAAATACTAAGCAAACCAAAGGGAAGAGCTCTAAAGGCCACTTTTGAACCCCCATGCAAAGAAAAGGCTACCAACTCCAATTTTAAATAAAATTAAAGCAAGCTTGTATTTGTATACACAAAGAGAGATGATCAGCAGCTGTCTCTCCTAACACAGGCTAGAGACCAGCACTCCAGCTCTCCAGGAACAAGGTTTTATAGCATAAAGTTGCAAAGGGCACCCCCTTTGTCTTGAGAACTTACAGCTAACAGGATTTTGACAAGCATAATACCAAAGCAGATAGTAGGTTAATGATCTACATGGCATGATATTTTGAGATAAGGAGTAAATTCAGATCCCAACATTAGAATTTATGAGGCACCACTGAGGTTTCAGAAAGGGTTGTTATCTGGTCAGGGGGAGCCAGGATTTAGGAGGCAACACTAAGGTTTTAGAGAGGGTTGTTTTCTGGTCAAGGAAAGCCAAGCATGTGTGAATTCAAGGCATGGACAGGAATTCCAAACAAGGTTAGAAATCTCAGTAATTTATAGTAAAACAGAAATTAACTTTTCATGACTTTGTGACAAGATGCTCCCAATCCTAAAATGGAATTAGGCTGGGTTCATCACCACACCCAGCACCTCAGAAACTTCTCAAGGGCAAAAGTTGCAAATACCTGGGCACTCCTCACCAGGGCACAAGGAGAGAGGCCCAAGCAGCTCAGCCCAGGATGGAGAGCAATGACCTCGGACAGCACAGAGGCCAGCAAAGGGCAGGTCCAAACCCCAGCCCAAAGTGGCTGGTTGGATTTCAGTTGAAGAGGAGCATGGCCTTGATGACAGTGACTAGGGCAGGACAGCCCAAAGAACTTGCAGGCTAACCCTCTGGGAATTGCTGGCCAGGGAAGCACTCCCAGATCCCTCTCTCAAAGTTGACCTAAGCATGACTGTCATAACTCAGCTAACGTGATCTTTAAAAGGTCATTTTTTACAACAAGTACTGAATCAACTCTTAGGATCAACAAATGACATGGACATACAGAGCAATTTTTGGGAAGGTCATCAACATTAGCAGTTTGTTATGTGTTTTTCTAAGGCCCTTTCCTAGGCCTTTACATGCACATATGTGCATATATAAGTATATAGGGATATTTTTTGCAGAAATGAAGCTATATTTTATATATATTATTTCACTTTATTCACTTAACAATATGTATTGGAGAGACTTTTAGGTTAGTATATGTTTTTAAAAACTAACTGCGATCTAAAATTCCTTTATATGTATAGTTCATAATTTATTTAAACAATCTCCAATTCTTGCCCATTTTGTTAGATTCCGATAGTTTTTTTTTTTTGCTATCATAAACAATGCTGCAATGACCATATTTGTATATGGCTCTTTTTTATGTACATCAGTATTTCCCCAGAATAGATGTGTGTACTATTAGAATTAGAAGATATTGCCAAACTGTTCTCCAAAAGGTCTATACACTACTAACTTACACCTTCACCCCCAGGGAAGGAGAATGATTTCTCCTACTCTGATCCAATACATTTATTACTTTGTTTTGTTCAGGCCTGGTGGGCTCAGAGGAGCTTAGGGTGGGACAAAAGGTATGGAGCCACAGACCTGACCTGGGAGGTAATAGCAGAATAAGTGACACAGCAGTCATCTATGACATGGGCCAGGGACCTAAAAGACTGAGATGCACCTCATCAGACACTAACCAAGGGTTGGGAACATCAGCAGGGAAGACCAAAGAAGAAAGAAGGATGGGAGATGGAAGATTCTCAGAGAAAAACATCAGGAAGCAACTGTGTTCATTTTGTTGGACAGATGAAATTTTCTGCCACCAAAATAAACGGTGACTGGGGAGTTGTGTTCAATTGGGGAAAAAATGAAGTGACAGTTTTGCACATCAAAGTCAGTGTCTATGAAATGCATAAGCCTCTCAAGAAACAGTTTTATAAAGCTTGCTTAGGATGTTTCTAGCAAGCCCTTGTTTTGAGAATTGAATAAAGAAAAAAAAAGATAACATTTTTAAATCTCAAATTAGATTTGTCCCAAAGAAGGACAGGCAAGAATTTTGTAAATTTAAGTTTATGGGAGGAAAGGTTTCATGCTGTTATGGTTTAGATATTAGGTGTCTCTCAAAAGCTCATGTGTGAGACAATGCAAGAAGGTTTACAGAAGAAATAATTGGGTTATGAGAGCCTTAACCCAATGAGTGAGTTAATCCCATGATGGGATTAACAGGGTGGAAAATGAAGGCAGGTAGGATGTGCTGGAGGAGGTGGGTCACTGGGGGCGGGCATCAGAGGTAGATAGTTTATATCTGGAAAGTGGAGGCTCTCTCTGCTTGCTCTCTCTCATCATGTGAGGGGCTTCTCTCTGCCACACTCTTCTGCCATGATGTTCAGCCTCACCTCGAGCCCCAAGGAATGGAACCGGCTGTCCGTGGATTGAGACCTCTGAAACCGTGAGCCCCCAAATAAACTTTTCCTCCTCTAAAATTGTTCTTGTCAGGTCTTTTAGTCACAGCAAAAAAAAAAAAAAAAAACTAACTAAAACAGAAGTACGTCAGCATCAACTCTAAAAACCAATCAAAGGCCCTATTGTTCCAGTTCCTGACTTTTTAAAGGCCAAAAAATGAGTTCATGACATTCTAAATGAGTTCATGAAAGAGCCAAAGCCGTCAGTTGTTGCTTCTGGGAAGTAAACTGGATAAATTGAGTGATGAGACTAGGAAGGAGGCTTAATTTTGAATTTGAATATCTTTTTTATGCCTTTTTGCGTTTTATATAATATCCACTGTTCAAAAATTCTTAATTTTAAGACCATAGGGTAGACGACATCAAACGACTTAGTGAGTCGTTGGGAATTCCAACAGTTCCTCAACCAGTGGGGGAACTTGAATCAGCAGACCTCAGAATCATAGATGCAACAGCCTCCTCCACTGCCAGCCTAAAAAATTCAAGGATTTGTTCTTTTCAACAAATAATCGGGAAGAAGAGGACAAGGTCTTCCAGCTTCCCAAATCAAGGAGATACAGAAAGGCAGGATGGGAGGGGGAGGGGCTTAACAGTTCCAAGGTCAACACTTAGGAAGGTTGTAGAAAAGAAGAGCTAGTATAAGTTTTTGCAAGGGTTAAAGAAGTCTATTCACTAAAACTCATGTAGTATGGTGCCTGTTGAAAGAAAAGTAATCACAACACTCAGAGCAACTAAGAGATCTTTATTGCAGCAGTGCAACAGAGGAGAAGAGAGAGAAAGAGAAGGGGGAGAGAGAGAGAGAGAGAGAGAGCGCACAAAGGAGACAGAGAGAGCAAGAGAGGAGAGAGAGGCCCAGCAGGAGGGAGTTTTTATACCCCAAATCTAATGGGGTCTCTGGGTCTGCAAGCTGCCTTGTTGGCACATAAGGGGGTTAAGTGCTCGGCCTTGAGCAGGGGGTTGAGTGTTCAGCCTTGAGCAGGGGCTTGGGTGTTTGGGCTTGAAGCAAACAGGTGATAAAGAACCAGACAGAGGGTTTGAGTGGCCAGGTCATCCTGCAGCTAACTTTGTTTGGCATGCCCAGTAGACAGCTTACTCAGCCTGTCCTGCACCTAACACCTGTAACATTCTTCCAGCCCATATAGAAAGAAGAAAGACCCATGAAGGAGATGAACTAGGAATCACTATAAGTAACTAGGCTCTTTTTGAGAAGCACGGGGGCACATGCATCCTGAGATTCGGAAGGAGTTAATGCAACCCAAGGGAAGGATTTTCCTGTCCTTTTCCCAGTTGGGAGGATTTTCATAGAAAGGGAGGGTCTCCCAGATGATCCCATTACTATTAAACCTATGTTCCCTGAGGGAGAAAAAAAATGATTTTCTCTTTTCTTCTGAATTTATATGTTTTACACACGTATCATATATCTAAAAATGAAAGTATTTAAACAGGACAAAAATGTAGTCCCAATATTCTCTCTCCATTTCTACACATATTGCTGTTTTCTCCAGGAGGAATCTGGAAAGGAGAACAGGTGGGGACAAGTGGAAAAGAGGGTGAAGGTAAGTCCTTCAGGTCCGTGGAGGATTGGTGTGAATGCAGCTCAGGACTGTGTGACAAGGTTGCTGGTCTCGATCACCAGGAAGAACTGTGGGTTTGTTTTGTTTTGTTTTGTTTTTAAACCATCTTCACTTAAACTTCCTTTCTTAGTCCCTGCTCAGCTCCTGGCCCCCCAGAGAAAAATGCCCGTGTCAATGGGAACATTATAGCTGGGGTGGGATAAGGAGAGAAGCATAGAAAGTTTATATGCATAAGGAAACAGGCTTCCTCCCATCTAGAGAGTAAAACATGGAAGGAAGGCACTGCAAGAGAATAGAGACCCAGGCCTGGTGTCTAGATCTTGCTCCATAAACTCCCTTTGTTAATGAAGTCCTAGGGCAAAGGTCCCTGCACCAGGGATTCCATCAGGCCAGGCTTGGCCACCTATCTCAATACGCCAATCAAAGAGATGAGCAGTGGTGAAGGGTAAGAAGGGAGCTGTAGTCAATGTGTTCCTTCTGGGAAGAACAAAGATCTGTCTTTAAGAGGCTGACAGAAGCTGTCAGATTTTATAGAAAAGGGGAACAAAGATAAGGGTTGGGGACTTGTATTGCTGTGGGGTTTGCATAGCTAGCAGAGCAGGTCATTTTGGCTTTGCCTGGCCTGGTTGATTGTTATCTCAGAACTGGTCTCAAACTCTGGGAAGTCATCATTACTTGAGGGCATGATTCTGTTTCCCTCACAATATGATTGCCTCCTGCCTAGGGTGCAGCCTGGATTCTGTCAGGGGGTGATTGATTGTTCCTGCTTGGGAGGGGCAGTCTCATCAGGGGTTGGTCTGTTCTGTCCGGCTGGTCATCGCTTGGTGGTAGATTTGATCCCTTTTAAAGATGCTTATGAATGAGGTCTGTTGTTCCTAGAACCCAAGGGAACTGCAGAAGAAAGTGGCTCAGGAAAGAAGAGGCGAATGGAGTCAGAGAGGAACAAAATGGAGTTGGTTTGGTCGGTGACTGGTCCCTCCTTCACCTTCGCTTGTCCTGGCTCATTTCTTCTGGCTCTGTCCCCCATCCAGAAACCAGGAGAAACTGCAGCTGAAAAATCAAGTGAGCGGATACCAACTCTCTGACCGTAGGGTAAGAAAAGGAAGTAGTGTGGCAAGAGGAGAAAGGGAAAAACACGGTTTCACATTGTGCAACCCACAAAGTCCCACATTGCCCCACGGCCAGAGTTCCACGCTGTCGTTTGCAACTCCTGGGTGAAGCCTTTCCTCACGAGACCATCCGGGCTTCCTGCAGCATTTCTCATGGTCTTGCTCCTATGGAGTTGACTTCCTCCCGACTTGTCCAGGGGCAGGCAAATGTGGGGAAAAGGACTTCACCTCGATTCTGGTCCTACACCAGCTCTCACTGATAATGAAACCATAGCAGGTCAAGGCTCCACTCTGGGCTTCATCTAACAAACGAGAGGATGGACCAGTCTCCAGAGGAGGCACACTTCCTGGGGGTCTTGTACCCTTGGTGAGGCCTCAGCCCTCACACTCAGCTGCTGAAGCAGAGCCTCTGCTTGAGATGCCCGACTTTGTTATGGTCCATCACTCACTCGAGGTGTCTCCTTGGGGAAGTCTGACGTCCTTTCTAGAATCTTCCATTCCTTTCTGCACTGACTCTTCAATCAGTGATTGTTTTCGTTTTCTATGACTGCTGTAACGAATGGCCACAAACCACCCATCTTAAAACAACACACGTTGGGTCTCTTAAGTTTCTGGGGTTAGAAATCCAAAATCATTTTCACTGGGCTGTACTTCTCCTGGAGGCTCTCTGGGAGAAAACTTTTTTTTTTTGCTCTCTTCCTTTTCTAGCTTCTAGAGCTGCTGCCTCACATCCCTTGGTTCATAGACTCTTTCTCCATCTTCAAAGCCAGCAGATAACATTTTTGCTTCAGTTGTCACATTCCCAACCCCTCTTCTATTGTCACATGTCCTCCTGCATACCTGATAAGGACACATGGCAAGATTTAGGGTTTGGCCAGATAATCCAGGATAATTTCTTCATCTCAGGATCCTTAAGGAAAGAGCCTATCTGCAAAGTCCCTTTTGCCATGTAAGGTAGTGCCCACAGGTTCTGGGGATTAGGATGCAGACACCTTGAGGGACATTGCTCAGCCTATTAAGGTGACATGCACCTTGTTTCAGGCCTGGGGATCGTCCATTTTCTCCCATTCCATCCCCTCAGAATAGAGTTGTGTATCTTTCTCCAAATATTCTAGGCCACCCCAACTTTCCCTCTATTCACTTCCCTTGAAACTATTCTAGGATGGTTTCACATCCAGTGGAACTTTCTGTGATGACAGACAATTCTATATTTGCACTGTCTAACCTGATAGCTACCATTGCATGTGGCTATTGAGCACTTGAATGTGATTTTGTGTGACAGAGAAACTGAATTTTAAATTTAGTTTAATTTAATTAAATTTAAATTTAAATAGCCACTCTAGTTAGTAGCTAACATATCAGAGAGCTCAGATCTAGACAAATAAAAACAGAAGGTAAAGCCAAGAGGGTCCTTTGCTGCTAGCCTCTCCTCACACCTGTTTCAGATCTGCTGTGCTCTGAATCTCCTTCTCCCAGTTCCTGCAGAATCTGAAGAGGTTTCCCCAGGGGCTCTTGAGTGATAGGGTGACAGAGGGCAGAAGAGGGAATGGGACTGTGTCTACTAACCCAGAGAAGTAAACAGCTTTTTCACAGAGCTAAAAACACTCAAATTATTTTCAAGGTAGTCTCTTCCTTATCTACCTTACTCAATGGTCACCCTTTTGGGGACTACAGAAATGTCTCACTAGGAAAGGTGCACAAGAAAGGGTACCTAACCTGAGAACTGACACTGGCAGGAGTTCTGCTCTGCTGACTGGCCTTTGGCAAGTTACTTCCTAGTCCTTGGCCCTTAGTTTTCATAAGCTGAGAGAGTTGGAACACATGGTCTAAGGGTTCCTCTCAGCTTTAACAGACTGTGTCCCACAGATCAGGGTTGATTGTGTACATAATTCCACTTCAGATCCAGATTCTCTTTGACCCATATGGTATTAAGTTCTAAATAAGCATTACTAAATACCCATGACTTTAAGTCACTCCCAGAGCATTTCAGAGCCAAACCAGACACATTCTTTTGTCCTCATGATGCCACTTCACATTGGCTTTGGATTCCAGAGTGTTGTTCCTTGAACTGATCTGATAATCCTCATGACAAGGACAGACACTGAGGCTCAGAGAGGGAGGGAGAGAATCTTCCACAGGCCAGGTCCCATTTTCCCATGGGCTGCTTTACAACAGCCCAGGGAAATATTATTCCCCAATTCCCAGGCAGGAAAATGGAGATCCAGTAAGGCAAAACGATTTTCCCAAAGTTTTGCTGAGAATAAGATGATGAAGTTGCTTTTCTGATTCTGAACGACTTCCTGTTCCCCTCCAGTGTGCTGCTGCCCCTGTCCACAGTTTCCCCGTGGGTTGTTAAACTCCCAGCCCTGAGCATCACAGCTGTCCTTTGGGGTCATCCTTCCTTGGTGCTCCCAGAGCTGACCTCAGCAAGTCACTCTCCCCTCTCTGTGCCTCTCTTTATGCACTTGTAAAACAGAGGACAACAGAGCCTTAGACTTAGTAATTGTTAAAGACTTCATAATGGCTCAGACTGAATTATTTTTTGAAACTATAGTTTGTCCCAGCTAACAGTACCAGGCAATCCCCTTCACACCACAAATCAAATCAAAACCCACAAAACAACCGCTTATATATTTTTTTTAAAAAAAGTTTTATTATGAAAATTCATGGAATCAACTGTATCATCCATGTATCCACAATAGCAGAGAAGTGACGGTGGACCGTCCCCATGGGGGACATGTGTCCTTAAATAATAGAAATAACTCCACATACAATAACAAAGCATCCAATACAGATTAAATTAAGAGAAGGGACAGGGGTTCCTGAGAGGAGTCAGGAGCATGGAGAATAAGGTGCGTCTTGCTGAGAGGTGCTGGGGCTCAGGGGATCTTCCCTGAAGACATCCTGCCCCTGAGACTGGAGCAGCTCAGTTCAGTTCCAGGTCATCCATGTACTCCTGGACCCAGGACTCACTGGGGTTGGCACAGACTTGCCTGCCCTTCTTGGTTTGGAAGCTGTAGAACAAAGAGTGGACACATTAGAGTCCTGTGGGACCATTAAGGACATCTGATAATACCCCCCCACCCCCTTTGTCTGTGGTAGGAATCTTTCTCTGCTTGACCATGGCTCACATTAGGCATCTCTAGTGAAATGGATCTCTCTAGAATGACGCTGGAACCACATTTCTATAACTTCCACCCACTGGACTTATCTGTGGCCTCAAGGATTTCCCTGATTAGGAACCAGTGGATTTTGCAATCAATATGGTTATATCTTTGCTTTTCCTAGCAGCAATGACTTTTCCATGTTTTTCTGGTCTTCTTCAAGAAATCTGCTTCTATCTCATGGTATTGATTTTTCCTGACTTTCTGGCCTCTGGATAGGTTTTTCCTCAGGAAGCACTTTCTTGTTCTTTGTCTGCCACCCAGCCACTTCCAGGACTTAAAAAAGTGACCTCATGACCTGCTTACTCACTGCCCTTGAACCACTTCCTTCTGCTTGATCACCTCCGGCCCCAAATGGCTCCCTTTTTGCCTCCCCTCACCCTTGTCTCCCAGAGCAGCCCAGGGATTGATACTCACACCACGGCAGGCTGGGAGCAGAGGCTGCTGGTCTCAAAGTAATCCATCACAAAGTTGCGTGGAAGCTTCCGCAGGGTGTAAGAGAAGCAGCAGGCAGTGGGAGGGTCTGAGCCCACTGGAAGGAAAGGTCCATGTGAGATCAAAGCTTGAATCTACCCAGGAGCTATACATTTTTTGATCCTACTTCTGGATCTGCATTGAACTTCCCTGGGGAGCTATCATAACCCCAATTATGGTCCAATAAATTCATGCCCACCCACACAGAGTGGGACTGTTATTCTAAACAGAGAATCCTAAGAAAAGGTAAGAAAGAATTCTAGCGGATTGGGACTGGATTGAGTCTCAGAACGTGTCTTACTCCCTTTGTCTTACAGATGGGGAAACCAAGGCATAGAGAGGGACAGGCTTAAACCAGTAGTCAGAGACAGAGCCTGTTCAGCTGTCTGACTTCTACTCCATCCTTTTCTGTGTTGGCTGTTAATTCTTAAGAAAATAGGAGCTTAAATATTATTGGCTGTCTACTAGACTCTACCTTTAATAGCAGGCTACTTGGAAATTTTCCTAGTTCCCTTTCAACCCCTCCGCAGTTCCTACCTCGACCCTAGTAGTAGCAGTGGACTTACTTGGTGCAGAGAGTGCTGGAGAGCAGAAGGCAGCCACAAGCACAAGGAGAGGGAGGGCAATCCCACAGAGCTTCATGGTGTTGGTGGAGGAGAGGTTTGCCTAGGGCTGAGACTGCAAGAGCTCAGAAGCGTCAGAACCTGGCTGTGTCCTGTGCTGATCTGAGTTGCAAACCCCTTTTTATAGGGACTCTGAGGCCTGGAACGGAGGTGGAGGTACAGAAAAGCAAATGGAATTTCCAGGGTAGAGATGATGTCATGGCACCAGTAAGGAAACCGAACCTAGCCAAGAGTGAAGAGTTCCTCCCAGCTTCTCTTCCCCAGGGCTATGTCATCACGGAATAAAAGAGTTGAAGGGGAGAAGAAGTGGGCTGTGCCCTAGAGGGAAATGGTACACCAGAGACAGAGACCGAGACTGGAGAGAGCTGAAACCAGAGAGGAAGGATGACACATTGACACTTGCTAGAAAGGGTTCAAGGACAAAAAAAAAAAAAAAAAAACCAACGCTGCTCTGGGTGGTTTGCCCCTGCAGAAGCTGTTCACATCAGTCTTTCCAGGTTGGCAGTGGTCTGCAGAACAGGCATAGGGTGTGAGCACAGAGAGAAACCATTGTCTCCCCCGACCCCACCATGGGTTCTTCCACACATATCTGATCAGAACTTCATTCAGGAAAGGGGTCAGTTAGCCAGTTGTAGAACAAGGAGGGAATGAAAAAGAAACCAAGATTTCAGGGTATTTTCTTGGACCAATAAGAGAAAGAAAGCAGTAAGAATTAAGTTTGAAAGACCCAGGCAAAGACTGTGCCAGTGTATGAATAGGATTGGCGACCTAACAATGTTTACCTGTGTGACAGACAGACTATGTCACCTAGGCATTCCCGGTCCATAGGGAATGCCTTGTGTCCCTGTCAACCCTGGCTGGCTTCACAATGCTGGGACCCGTACATAAGAAGCTTACCAAGGGAAGCGATGCAGAGATGCACAGAACATGGCAAATGATGGGAATTTGGATGAGTGGATGGAGATCTCACCCACCCTTAGCTCAACGACTCTGACCCGCCTGCTCGCCCCTAGCACCACCATTGCCCTCTGCTCTGCTCTGAGAAAGTCAAAAGACAGAGCCCAGCCCCTTGGATGCTTTTGATTATGGGACAGGAGCAGCATCCTGGGGCACTTCAGGGTCATTTGAGAAAGTACAAGGTCATTTACTTTATCATTCTCTCCACCCTCTCCCCACCAAATTTGCACTTAAATCTTTCCCTCTGGGCTTTCTGTGTTTGCCCTTTTATTTTTGGGATGGAGCTTGCCTCAAGTGTCAGAACACTTGGTTTTCAAAATGAAGTCTGCAAGACAGTGAGCTGGTTGGAGCAGCTTGTCTGTGACTGCCGCACTCCCAATCACTGAACCCAACAGCCTCATTCTTTCTAAAGTGAAAGTGGACCTTCCTACCTGCCACAGTCTGCCCTTTGGCTGTTAAGGGCACAGGTAGTGACTGCTGGGGACATTACATTCTGGACATGTCACATTCCTGAGGGAAGCATCAAGCCTCACTGGGCTTTGGTGGGTCTGAGAATATGTTCAATCTTCCTTATGAAACATCTTTCTTTAATAAATGCTTTTATGCTTGTTTATAGCCTCTTTCCAAGCAGGTCTCAGGGAATACTTGAGCAAAAGAAGAAAATAATTCTGTAAAGTGTTTACAGAATTATATTTCTTGGATGTGACAGTCTGTGTTAGATGTTGGGGGTTCATGATGGTGGGTTCAAGAAAGTCTCCAAAAAAGATAAGGCTTTAATTTCTTTTTTAAAAAAATATTTTTATTTTATTTTTTATAGGAAATATACATGGTCACTGTATAAAAATTAGAAAATATAGAAAAGTATAAATACAAATTTAAATTATGCTATCATTCTTTACCCAATTTTATATTTTACTATTAGTATGTAACATTCCTTCTTGAATTAACATATTATTGTTACTTAAGATTCTTCCATGTTATTAAAAACCCAAACATGAATCAAAGATAGCATTAATGAATGTGTGAAATTCCATTGTATGGATATGCCAACATTTACATTTAACTATTCTACTGTTTAGATTGGTCCATTCTCTAAGTTGAGCTGAGACTTAAATAAATGTGTACAATTTTTCTATGTTGATTTAAAAATATTCTTTAAAATTTTTGAAAATTAAAATATATTTCAATGATAATGATAAAAGCAGCTAGCGTTTATCACAGCACTTACTATGAGCTGGTTATTTTTTTAATATATATATATTTATTTATTTTTTAGTTGTAGTTGGACACAATGCCTTTATTTACTTTATTTATTTTTATATGGTGCTGAGAATTGAACCCAAGGCCTCGAATATACTAGGTGAGCGCTCTACCGCAGAGCCACGACCTCAGCAAGTAAAATTCTAAGCACCAACGTTAATGTATTTAATCCTCACCGTGGCCCTCTGAGGTAAGTATTTTATCCCCTTTTACACGTGGGATGCTGAAACATAGAGAAGAAAGTAACCAAATAAAGAGCACACAGCTGACAGACATATTTGGAAATAAAATCAAGCAAATGTGGCTCTAGAGACTAAATAAATCAGAAAGGGAAATGTGCTTTATTATAAATTTAAAAGCCAACCAGCCAAAGTCCTGTGATTATCATGTAGAATGTCTTTCGGTTTTGCATTTCATAAACAAATGTTTTATTTTTGAGTAATAGAATCTAGGGACTTCCCTTTTTTTTCCTTTAGAAAATTTGGGGAATTAAATAGTAATTTTTCATATTTGTTCTAAATTTTAACCCCTGTGGCTGCCACAGGATGTGCCCATGCATAGCTAGCTGACTCCGCCTGTGGTTTGCCCCAGAGGGAAACTGCTTTGTCAAGTTGACACTTCATTCAGTAACAGTGGGGGAAGAGACACTTTTAAGGAAACACAGGTAGCTCAGAGGGACTGGAGTCTTGGTCATCAGGAAGTCTGAAGGAGGCAAGCTGCGGGCCAAAGAAGGCAGTGGGCATCAGGAGTCAGTTCACAGAGAAGCTTCCAGTTCATGCTGGACACAAAGCAAAGTATTTGAAAAATGTTAACAGAAGGAGACAGAGACTGATTTGCACTTTGGCAAAAATCACATTGGATGCTGTGTGGTGGGATCGAGTAACAAAGAGGAGAAAGTAAAAAGAAAAACCAGTTTCTAGGACAGGAACATGGTCATAGTGAGAAACGGAGGGCCTAATCTCAGACTGCAGCAGTGTGGGGATGGTGACAGGTGGTTGCACCTGATTTCAAATACAGACTAGAGCTGGAGATGAAGCAGATGTAGGAGTTGCAGGGAGTACGGGTGGGGAGGTCAAGGGCAACTCCCAGTTTTCTGGCTTGGAAACTCAATAGGAAAGGATGCTTTCTACTGGGTAGAAAACACAGGAGACAAGGGAAAGAACAAAATCCAATATCAAGATATTCGCCCTGAGGTACTGCTCACTCACACAAAGTGGAGAAAATGACAAGGACTCAAGACAGGAAATAAAGGACTGACTCCACAAAGAAGAGCTTTGTGATAGGGTGTTGACTATTGAACACCTAAGCAATCTTGGATGTTCCCCCAAAGAGCCAGACCTGACACCATGGCCTTTCTCAGCCTTCCCTTCCCATTAGTATTTCAACTCTGTAATGACAGCACTGGACATATATTGTTCATTGATAGTCAAATCTGTGATTTATTCTTTTACCATATATTTATCAAGCTGTACTGTGTTCTGGGCATTATGGTTATGCTTGGAGATACATTGGTAATAATTCAGTCAGTGAAATATTAAACTGGTCATTTCCATCTGTGTAACTGCGGGCAAATCATTTTAAACCTGGGAACATCCATTTGTCACCAAGGAATTTTCTAAGACTCTTCCAATTCAGCCAAAACTCAGAGCTTCCTTTCTTTACTCATTCAACAGATTTATTAAGCACATACTCTGGGCACAAGAGTGTTATGTTCCAATCCAAGTCCAAATACATGGCAAAGGGCTACTTCCTGGCTTGGGGACTGACATGGAAAATCTTACCAATATATAAACACATGGAATCCTCTATCCGACCATCACTTTTATCGAAAAAAGACTGTGAGGAATGGAAACTGGATAGAGATTCTTCCTGTAATCATTATGTGCTAGGATTTGTTTAGCTAGGAACAATCAATAAGACATGGTCTGAATTCGGTTGAAAATCAACAGGAGGATGTCATCTAAATTTTTGAAATAGAGCTTACATAGATGACTAATCATACACTGGTGAGTGCTGTAATCCTGGAAGTAGATAATGCCCATTATCAGAAACATGGTTGATTCAGCAGTTTCCACTTCCTCTTCTCACCCTCCCCAGCTCATAGATGCCAAACTCTCAGAAACTTAATCATGAGTATGACTGTGATTCCCCGCTGGACCAATGGCCGGCAGAGAGGATGGGCTGAGTCGAGCGCATCCTCTATGATGTTGTTTCTAGTGAAAAAAGGGACAGTGACTCCCTTTTTGGAATTCATAGCAATTCGGGGAAATACTGGGTTTGGCGCCTTCCCAGTGAAATCTCCATTGCCCTTGATCTTTGCTTCACCTCCCTGGCTACCTGCATTAGCATCACAGGGAAGGAGGGTAGAAACAGAGCCCAGAGCCCATGTGTTTTTAAAAATGTGACTCTAGAGACACTGAGGAAAGACAGGATTCCTGAGGTGTGGTCTTTCTCTGCATAAGTGGGCTGTCTTCTTCTGTTCTCTGGCTCTGACAGAGCAAGTCTGATTCCTTTGGGGAAGAATTCTGGACCCTTCCTGGCTGGGCTCCAGTTTAGACTCGTCATACATTCCCTGCCTGTCTCGCCGCCCCATCAAATTCTGCCCTCAGAGCTGAGTCCTCAATGTCACACCTGTGACTTTGTATCAGTAGAACCTCCACCTCCCATCCCATCGGTGCATGTTCAAATCCTGAAGAGTTTTCAAGATTCAACCAAAACTCCATCCCTTTCATGAAAACTTCCCCTATCTTCCCCTGGAGGTTCATTTCTCCCTCCTCATAACTTTTATTTCCTCTTCTAAGAGTCCTGGCACTTTCTTTTTTCTTCTTCTTCTCCCCGCCACCCTTTGGTACCAGGGATTAAACCCAGGGGCGCTTTACCACTGAGCCACATCCCTTGCCCTTTTTTATATTTTAATTTTGAGGCAGGGTCTCATTAAGTTGCTTAGGGCTAAGTTGCTGAGGCTGGCCTTCAATTTGTGATCCTTCTGCTTCAGCCTCCCCAGCCGCTGAGATTACAGGTGTGCACCACTGTACCCAGTCTAGCACATTCTGCTAGCGCTGTGAGTACCTCTCATGTATCTACCTGTTCCTACCAGACTGGGAGTATCTAAGGATAAAGGCTATTAAAAAGAACTCAACCCAATTTCTCATAAAAGATGATGTGTGCTTTTGAATTATAAAAGAATAAAGAATGGAAAAGAAAGAATAGGTTTGGCTGAGAGGGAAGACTCTTTTTTATATCACTCTTTTTTGCATTGAAAGGAATATAAAAACAAAACTGGTTCAAGTTTGGTGATGTTTATCACAGTTTGGTGAGTATCACATAGGATGCTGCAAACTGTTCAGAGAAACGACAAACCAAGACACTGTTTTAGAAAAGGTCCTTGAACAGAAATGTCAGTATATATTATCAAAATTTATGTTAAATTGAACAATTTAACATAAATTTTGATAATATATACTGACATTTTTAACCAGAGATTTAAACGTTTTTAAAGCAAAATTTGGGGCTGACAAGCATGTAATACAATCTTGCTGAAGAAAACGAGAAAAATCTGAACAAAGAAAAACAAAAGCCAAGAAAATTAAACTCCATAGGCCCATCACACAAATATAAGCATTATTAATTCTTTAGGACTTTTAATTACAAGATTTTAAAAAAATTTTACGATAATTGGGGTAGGCACAAAATTACAGATACATTTCCATATATTCATACAATTCTTCTTGAACAATTGTACAATTTTTTTATCTTGCTCTTTAACACTGATGTAATATTTATGCCCCTTTGCTCAGTTTTAGGGCTTAATAATAAATAATCCAGTAAACTCGCCATAACTTACTTAATCATTTCCTCATAGAGGAAAATTACAAATGATGCTGTTTTTTTATTTTATTTTATTTTATTTTTTTACGATACCTCCATATCTGGCTTGTTTCTGTAGAACTCTTTCCAAGAAACACTTTTTCTTGGTTAGTGGGCATAAATATTTTTAGGCTTCTGACATATTGACACCCTCACCCAAAGGAACTTCATAATTCACAACTAGAGTTTGTGACAGAGTCCCCTAGTCATTCTATGACTGTTCGATAAATGGACAAATGAAGCGTGACATCAACTTTCTCCTCTAGCCGGGGATTCCTTAATTCAGTACTAGGATTTAGGGGTGGGGGTGTTGCTGCCATCCACATGTCAACCCCATGTAGTTACAGAGACTAGGAAAGCACTGAGTTTCAGTTCTGTAGAAATGAATGGCACTGAAGAGGTCATCCATAAATAAGTTCTTATGAGAAGGGACCAGCTAATAGCAGCTCTGGACAGAAATACACCCGTCTCCTCCCTTACACAGGGAAACCATCTCCCCAAAAATAACCAGAGCAAGTCATGAGTCTAGAGCTGAGACCTACAGCTCAGAGATGCTATTCTTAGATATCCTGAGTTCCTGTGGTCACCAAGGACCCCAAGTTGTGTAACATCATGACAACATTGCTATGCTTAAAAATTTCCACATGCACCCCCAGATTCCGCTTCCCCACCCGCCAGGGCTGCCTATAAAGAGAAGGGCAGATGGCTTCAGATGCCAGAAGGACACAGGCAGCAGGGAGGACGAAGGCCCTTCTTGGCTCTGCTGATACTTGAGACCACACTCCATCATCCACTGAACATCATGCAGGTCTCCACGGCTGCTCTTGCTGTCCTCCTCTGCACCATGGCTCTCTGTGACCAGGTCTTCTCTGCACCATGTGAGTCTACCCTATTGTGGCGGGTGTCCCCACTCTCTGGCCCTGGGGAGACCACATCAATCTCTTTT